CCTTCTCTTTCCAGAGTAGGCTTTAGATTATATTACCTGATTCTTTTGTTGGTGAAAGTGAGTCACCTCCATTCTGCTTTGGGTTACCTATCCCCAGTTTTTTAAACTTCTCCCACTCAATTTGCTTGAAGATCAACCATATAAACACAGTCATAAGTAATATTTCTGTGTGAGCTGAATCAAATTATTGAGATACAAAGAGATGTTTATGAGTGAAGATGTTCTAATATATTCCCCAATTAGGGAAGAAGACATCAACTTTTCAATAAAATCTGAGGGGACCTTGGTGAAGCCAAAGCACTTATGGGATGATCAGACAGTTCCTAAGACTTAATTATTTGCACTTCACCAAAGTCTTCCACAGTCTCCCAGTTACACTATGATTCATCATTTTATACAGAACCTTTTAGGCGCCAAACACTACTCTAGGCACTTCATAGGTGGCATATAATTTCATTCTCAGAAGAATCCTATAAGGTAGAAACTGTAATTATACACATTTTCTGTATGGAGAACTAAGCACAGAGAGACTCAGGGCCTTGTGTAAAATCCCATAACCAGTAGAGAATACAGGATTAATCCAGGAGTCTCCCTCTAGCGTTCAAGCACATAATCATTGTCCTCCGCTACCTGCCCAGGATTCAGTCTGAGCTCCTAAATCTGGAAGTCAGTTTCCTCTCCACACTCAAATTCAACATTTCATTCCAGCTTCAATCACATGACTCTTCACAAACAGCGCCCCTCGAGTTCCTGCCACATATACTCTCCAAACACACCAACATTCGGCTGTTCCAGTTCCTCATCTCTCATCCTTCCTTCTGCCCAAACGAATCTCCCCAAGCACAGCTTCCATCATATTTCCTGCGCATAGAAGCTGCCAATGACTGAGCCACCTGCTTGCAGGTACACTTAGTACATCTACAGCCCACCTGGGAATTATAAACGGTGAGCTTTTCAAGCTTAGATCCACACTTGGAGAGCCTTGCCCTAGAGAAAAAGAAGATACTTAAAGTCATAAGAAGACTCCCAGTCTCTTCTAAAGTTTGCAAACTGTGTGTGTGTGTGTGTGTGTGTGTGTGTTTAGAAAGTGGGGTTGTTGGGGGGGGGTTGAAAGCAAGTGTTTGTATTTTAGCAGTGAATATGTATTTCAGCAAATCACAAGGCGCTTCTCATCCCTCAGTTTTAAGGATAATTTTATACAAGTGAAGTGCTAAAATATGAAGTTTCTAAATAAGGTGTTTGCATGTTTTGGGGTGGATCGTAGGGAGATATCTGTGTCAAAAGTTTTAAGATTGTTCATGACCTTTTATTAGAGGACTTTGTCTCAAGGAAATCATCAGAGATGCTTAGAAAGATTTGTGTTCAACTATGTTCATGGCAGCATTATTTTCACAGCCCCAAACAATAAGAACTAAGTGCTTAAAGTATGAGATTAAGTAAACATGGAATGACAAATAAGATATTAATGTTAAAAAACATTCCTTTAAAAATACTGGAAGTTAAGAAGGTAGGTTTATAAATTTATGGAAAAAATAGACTACAAAATAGCATGCAAATTATCAAATACACTTGCAAGTAATAATATTTGTTTCTGGAGGTATTTTGCTTAGTGATTAAGAATTTTCCCTACTTTTTAGTTTTTAGATTATTTTTACATTTCTAAATTTCCTTCAAAGAACATGTTCTATTTTTACAAACAGAAGATATCCCAGTAAGTGGTTTAAGCATTTTTAAGCAAACTGTATAGGAGTGAACTTGAATTTTTCAGTAGCAAATGTGCTATAATGGAGAGGTATATTGCAGTAGTTTATATTTCTTTTTTTTGTTGTTGGTAGTTAATATTTCTTGAATGCAACTACAAGCTAGGAGTAATATGCATTATCTCACAATTCTCTCTTTATAATAATATATAACATGCCACATATTGTATGTATATTCTAATGTTATCCTATAATGCTCTATCTAGTGTTTCTTTGTGTGGAATATACATACGTGTGTAATAAAACCTGTTTTTACTCTATCCAGTAGTCCTGAAGGCACATAAGCCTTCAGGGATGATTATACTCAAGGGGCAATCTGTTGATTGGGGCAGAAAAAATATATGTCAATTTTTGCTGTGTCTTTGACGACTGCCTTTTCACACCACTTCTGTTGGATAAACTTCCTGTTAAAGGGCTTGGGCCATCTGGCTGCCCCACACGCTCCTCTCCTTGCTGCCCTTCGACAGCTCCCTGCCCTCTGCGCAGCTAAGCAGCTGCTTCACTTTCAGCCTCTTGCTATCACGCCGTTTTCTGCTTCTCTTCACACCTAGCCCTCTTTGCGCCATGTCTGCCCCATGCTGGGGTGCTGGCATGGATCTCCTCTTTGCGGCCGTTGGCCAGTTTCCTCTTTCAATCTCCATGCCTTCGACAAGGCTTAGACTAAAGAGCTTCATCAGCGTATCAGGCATTCTCACCATGTTTAAAGGCTTCCTGAAATCCTAACCTCTTCGTGAATCAGAATGCCTGGCATACAGCAGACATTCATTCATTCCTAAAGAACATTAATTCCCTCCATGCTAGAAATACACCAGTGAGATTCCGCCCTCTGGAATTCCAGCATATGCTCAACACACACATAAAGCACACCCAACAAATCTTTATTTTTTTTAATTGGAGTATAATTGCTTTCCAATATTGTGTTAGTTTCTGGGGTATGGCAGTGTGAATCAACTATATGTATACATATATCCCTCTTGAACCTCCCTCCCCTCCACTTCCTACCCCTCTAGGTCATCACAGAGCACTCACCTGAGCTTCTGGGGCTATACAGCAGCCTCCCACTAGCTATCTATTTCACACGATAGTGTATAGTGTATACATGTCAATGAACAAACCTTGTATAGCCCATTCTCATTCTAGATTGTTTCTAGAATCTTTGACCTCACCCACACTAGTCTAAGAACTAACTTTAAAATTCCTTCTTTAAAAAGTATCTGTTTAAAAGCACTCTTTAATTAGGATAGTGGTTAAAACAAGTCCCCGAATTTGACACTCTTTCCATTGAGAGGTGGGACTATGTTTCTGCCCACTGAAATTCAGGCTCTGTGAATGTGTGTCAGATAGAGTAAAAGGGATGCTGTGTCACTCTGAACTAGGCCTTGAGAAACGGGCAGTGTCTGTTCTTGTCTGTTGGATCCTCATCTTTGGAATCCAGCCACCATGTTCTGAGGAAGCCCAAGCTGTCCAAGGTTCGATCCCTGGGTTGGGAAGATCCCCTGGAGAAGGGAAAGGCTACCCACTCCAGTATTCTGGCCTGGAGAATCCCATGGGCTGTATAGTCCATGGGGTCACAAAGAGTCAGACACGACTGAGCGACTTTCACTTTCAGATCAGTTTTCAAGCTGTCCTTGGAGAGGCCCAGCTGAAGAGGAAGTGAGGCTCTTGACTGGCTCCAACCGAACTCCCAGCTGACAACTATTATCATCTTTCTAGTCACAGGAAGGGGCCGTTGTGGAAGTAGATTTTCCCTAGAAGTTGAGCTGCTATGAAGAGCAGAGCCAAACCTTCCATGCTGAGCTCTGCCCAAATTGCAGACTCACAAGTTAAATACATGAGTTTTGTATTTTGTAAGCCACTAAGTTTTAGGGTGGATTGTTACTCAGCAATACACAATGAGAACAATGGTTCTGGACATACTACAGAAGATCTGCTTCAGTAGGGCTTTGTTAGGTGGCTAAATTGCTCTGTATAAGAAATAATAGGAAAATAAGAGGATTCTGAGCCAGGAAGCTAAGGAGCAGAGGACGAAGAGAGGGAGCAGGCTCCAGCCATAGAGGATGAGTAAAGCATAAATGAACTCAACAACCAGCAAAATGCTCTAGTGCCAGAGACGGCAGGGGGCTATTCGGAACAGGGGTGCTAGTGTTTAGGTTAAAGATGTTTGCTGACACAGCTGGCTGCAGGGATGTTCAGTTCAATTCAGTCGCTCAGTCGTGTCCAACTCTTTGCGACCCCATGAATCACAGCACGCCAGGCCTCCCTGTCCATCACCAACTCCCGGAGTTCACTCAAACTCATGTCCATGGAGTCAGTGGTGCCATCCAGCCATCTCATCCTCTGTCATCCCCTTCTCCTCCTGCCCCCAAATCCCTCCCAACATCACGGTCTTTTTCAATGAGTCAACTCTTCGCATGAGATGGCCAAAGTATTGGAGTTTCAGCTTCAGCATTAGTCCTTCCAATGAATACCCAGGGCTGATCTCCTTTAGGATGGACTGGTTGGATCTCCTTGCAGTCCAAGGGACTCTCAAGAGTCTTCTCCAACACTTTTGTAGCCTTTTCACGAACAGTATGAAAAGGCTGCAGGGATGGGGCACCTGCTAATCTCTGTGCCATTATCATAAGCATTCACCATAACCCTGCCACATATATACAGTCTCAAATCTGGAATACTCAGGACAGAATGGGTATACTGCAGTGAAACTTGCTGGAATAACACAATGCAGTTATTAAGGTTTATAGTAACTTCAGTGTTAGAGCTGATCCTTCCTGCCCTGTCTCCAAATGTGCACCTCATTTAGTTTGTTTTGAAGGGGATGACCACAAATTCTTTCCTGGGCCTCAGTGTGGACCCTTGAGGATATTCGTTGTCTGGGTTGCTCTTTGGTGTCAGTGGAGCATCCCATATCTTGGTAGATGCCCCTCACAATGCTACTTCATAATGCAAGCAGGTAGATGCCTTAGATACCTTGATTAAGTGAAATACTCTAGGTCCAAGGAAAGACCATATCAGACTCTGACGTCAAGAACCATAAAATAATAAATTCATGTTGTCTGAAGCCACTATTTACAGTGGCTTAAGCCACTAAGTTTATGGTTACCACAAGAGAAAACTAATACAACCTGGATGTGAAACATTATAATAGATTGTTTTAAGTTAAAGGAAAGATTTGTTAGAAGACAGAAAAAAAGGAAAATGTCCAAAGCTTGTTTCTTGAGTTAAAAGAAAGACAAAACAATGCACATTTTCTTTGCATTTACTTTTACTGGAAAAAACAACAACAACAAAACATTTTTTTTCAAAAGAATCAAAAGACCATTACACAAGATCGCACAATCACTTACAAATGCAGTCAATTAAAGGTAAGTAGGCTAGTCTCACAGAGTCCTTGTCTAAGTAGTTTTCTCCATATGCAATACACTGACAAAGTAATTCTCAGAGCTTTTGGGCTGGATTCACAGTCCCACTGGGCATGCTCACTGCATTCCATAATTTAATCACATCAGATCTCAAGTAGGAACTCTTCCACCAAGATTTCTATCATGAGAGCAGTTTAAATAGTCACCTTCTTTCCATTTCCCACTGGCTTTTTTCATAGTCAGGGGTATGTTCAGCGTTACCCAACATCTTTCTCCATTTACCACACAATTTACTCTCCTTTGTTTGGGACCTAACTTCCTCAGTCTTCACATTCTTTTCAACCACCACTGTCTTTACTGTACAATAAAATGAGTTCAGTGTAAATATAGAAACCAACATCTTCAAAGGGGGAGAAAAAGAAAGGACTACCTGCTAGGAAAAGTATACAGGGATGATAGGTAATTTCAGGAAGCCCTAGAAGGGACTTTTTACTATTAACATTAGCTTGTAAAAAGCAAGTATGAAACTTAAAAAAAGAAATCAAATTTGATGTGTTGTGTGTGTGTTTTATTTTGCACCATTATGAATCAAATACGAATACAACTAATAATATGCTCTAAGTTGCAACATGAAACAAGAATGGTAACTGCTTACAAATGCTGTGAAGGTTCAGTTCTCTTCTGAGACATGGGGTATGTCAATACTCCAGTTTTCAGAATCCTCCCCTGGGCCTTGTAATCACACGTGCCACAGATGGACCTGTGTTTTTATTTTTCCCCCAGAGGACCGGAGTCTGCAATTCTTATCAGATTCAAACTCAAGGTACAACTTAGCAAATGCTACATGCTTTATTAATGATTTTATGCACCTGTGAGGTCTACTTAGGACCCAGAAATTAGTTAAGAATATAGAAACAGTCTCTTGAAAATATATATCATATCTCTACATATACCTCTTTAGAAATTATGTAAAAGCCTAACATATTCTGTAAATTTTATTTTTATAAGTAGTGTTCTAAAACAAACCTACACATAATTTTTCCCCTCAACAGTACTGATAAAATACAGGGCACCTTTTTCTTTCAAGTATTTGGGTAAAATAGCATACCCTGAGAATTTGGGGTGCAAATCTACACCTTGTAAACTGTAGAATGAAACTCCTCAAGCACCACATAGGAAAATGTGTACCGTGATGGTTTTAAAACACAGAGACTATTACCGAATGTGTCCTCTCATGCACATATAATATATACTTATCATGAGATTTTAGTCAGTCTACTTAAGAATCAACACTGTCCTGCAGTCCAAAGTATTATTTCAGGTAGCATGAGCATTCAATTTGTGGCAAACACAGACTTTCATTTCTATGAAATATGAAAATAATTTAAATGCATTAAATCTCTTTAAGAGGCAAGAATGATGAAATCAAATCTGAAATTAAAATGATTTATATAGCTACATATTTCAGAGTGACATAAGGATGGTTTTGAAGTGCATGTTAACATTTAAGATTCATCATAAAGATGTCAAAGTGTAATTTGTTTTAGCTTATTTGCTCAATGATATCCAGAGAGCCATACACATACAGACATAACATAGATGCAGACAGACATACAGAGAGCCAATATGTTAAGTCATCAACTGCATATTTGGGCTTCACTTCATCCTGAGAGCAATTTCAGAGAGTGTTTTTCAATAAAATACATTCTGGTGAATTAAATTGTTGTACTGGTTACAAATTTGTTCAGTTTTCCAACAACAATTCAAAAGGAGCATATTTCAACCTGACTGTTTGACCAACAGGGAAAAAGGGGAAATGGGGCAAGATTTCTACGCAAAATGCCCTAAGGTTCATCTGGAAAACTACATTTCACATGTAACCCCAAGAAGAGATGGCAAAAGCCAGACTCTGCAATTCTAATTAGAGTCAAGCTCCAGGCACCCTATAGGAAATGTTACATGCTTTATTAGTGGTTTTGTGTATTTAAACCATAAAAAGGTAGCTTGGTAGCTGAAAGGACACTGTTACGGTGATGGTTTTATGGGCCAGAAGGTTTCATATACTCTTGGCTTTTTCTACTTAGCTTTCATTGAATAAGGAAGGACACAACTACTTCATTCAAATATCAACACAACCTCAAGAAATAAAACAATGAAAAGTGAGGATTTAGATTTACCTCATGTTTTTAAAAATGTCCCCCTCTATCATTTGAGGTGGTAAATTGCCTGGCAGCTTTGGTTTTTATGGCTTGACGAAATAGAGAACCATGAAATTATCACAGATGATATTGTGTTCATAGAACACTACTTTAAAATCACTTTTTTAACTACTTGGACATTTACTACAACCAAAGCAGCTTCTCAGAGGATGTGGCCTCTCTGATAGGGCCAACAAATGAAAAGTTCTTTCTTTCTTAGTTTACCTCAATGTGAAAATTTGAGGCTCAGATCTGTTAGAGAAAAAGAATGATAAATAGTGATAGTAGCTTATGGGATCCCCAGAGCCTTGGTAGGTAAGGCACCACCACATTCTCTAGGAAAGGAGATGTCTCTCTTTTTGGAGACCTGGAAATAGTTGACTACTTAAGACCAGCACTGGATTTTCCTAAGAATCACATGTAGTTTTGAAACAGTCTTGTCAATTCTGGCTCTAGCTATGAAATTCTATCTGAGTTTCACAGAATATGTTCAATACTCGAGATTTCAGTGTTCTGAAAGCATTGTAAGTTATTTGAGCATTATGTTTGAGATCTTTAGCTGAGTCTACATTCTTGTTTCAGTATTAAGTGACCCAGACCCAGGACATCTCTACTGAATATAAGGAAGGGCTGATGCTGTGAGAGACACTTCCTAGTAATGAAAAATTAAGTTCTGGGGTGAATCTGTTGGTGGAGTTGAGTAATATGATGTCTATAACCAAGGAATAACACTTCCCCCAATTATGGCACAAGGGCATCTTTTCCAAATACAGAGACTATTTCATATTTCATGCTCCATATCTCATAGAGGCAGTCTCCTCATTTCATAGCTCATCAGCCCAATGACTGATTGAATTGTGACCAGAGCTGACTATTCCTGTCTCAAACCCTTCCTTTTACCCAAAAGAACTTCTTTTCAGAGTAAGATCTCTTTCAGGAAGGCCCTGAATATGAAATTGAGGTTTTTTTTTAAAGAGTACAACTGAGATGGAAGCATAACTATCTTCAGTCATGAACAGTATAAAATTCTGTGGTTTCAAGATGTAATTTAAGCAAAAATCAATATTGATGATCAATAAAATAAAAAGAAGGCTTAAAAAATTACCAGAATGCTTTATCTTTGAAAAAGTAAGTAAATAAGAGGAGATTCCTCTTTTGAAAAGCCCAGGAGAACCTTCAAGTTATTCTTTTTAAAAGTAAGAAATATTCCAATTAACATTGTTGAATATATATTGACTCACTTATAAATTATGATTAGCTAAATATTTATCTGTTCAATCAGCTCTTCAAAACTTACCATGAACACTCACTAAAGTAACCTTCAGAAGTGGGCTACAACTGAGGCAGTACTGAATGTCAATGAAAGATTCTATGATTTGGATTCTCGACATCTCTTAGAACCATAAGGAGCAAGTGATACAAACCTAGATCACTGCTCTTGGTATGGTGAGTGCTAGAGAGAGTCAGAGAATCAGAGTTCACTTTCTACTCCACTACCCGAAACAGGTCACACTTCAGACTCCAAACAATCTGTGAGAGAGAGGAGTATGCAACTATAGAGGGAATCATTAAAGAAGAATATAATCTCCCACACTCATAGCAAAGCTTGGATTCTAGAGGGAAACAGATATTTTATACCTTTCTGAAATCAAGACCTTAATCTTAAATGCAACCACTGGCTCTCCAGTCTTTCAAACCATTCTACTTTAAGGCAACAAATAGTGTCATGGCATCGTACCAATGGGAAAGTTAAAACAAGGCACAAAAGTTAAAACCACTGTTTTTCACAATCACATTTGAAATCATGCTAAACCCAATAAAAGGACAAGTAAAACATAACCAAGAGAATGACTAGGCTTGGCTGGTCTATGATTCAAAATACAGACTCATCATATTTAAACCCAGACAAATGCTACAACTCTGCCAGCCAGTCCTGATATATTCCAAGAATCTGTAGGGAGATTTGTGATCCAAATGACTGATTTGCTAGTTTTGTATACAATAAAACCAATCTTATTCTGTTGTATGTTTTGACTGAACTACAAGAACATGTAAGAGATGGTTTGCCTAGTCACAAATGCAGGAAGGAAAGATGAAGGGAAAGCTTATATTAAAGTACAAAAGGAAATAGTTTTACATATGAAAAAATGCAACCATTCAATCAGCAATAACACAAACTGTCTTAACAGGGTTATTCAGAAAAATATAGAAACTTACACACTTGTTTATAAGAAGCAAAAACTAAGAACAACATATCTAGAGGAAGTTTTTCAGGTGATTCTTAGTGTTGTTACAACGAAGCCTTCAGATTTAAGAAGGTTTGTCCATCTTTCTGTCTTGCTCCTATAAACAAACATAGTCAAAGAAAAGACTCTTAGTTATAAAAGTAAATCTCACTCTTAAAGAAGCAAGAAAAATGCCAAGATACATTTTATTTAACTCTTTGGTTAATTTCAGTATGAATAATGCTGAAGTTCACATTTTAAAATCGGAGAATGTGTTTCTGAACCTACTAGACATCCTACTGACTTCAAGAAATTGCCCCAAATGGGACATCTTTTTGAAACTTGAATTAAATACAGTCAATCCATTCAAAAATTATTTTAGAGTTAAACATTTAGTTTTACTGAAATCATCCATACCAGAAAATAGTATAACAGATATGTTCTTAAAACATGCAAAACTGATATTTAAACTAAATTGAAACATTTGAAATTTATCATGAGTTATTAATGTAGTTAAATGAATAAACTCTATACTCCAAAGTGAACGGTCACCACCTACATTATGTGGAATTTCACACTGTGCATTTTGTTTGAAATGAGATACACTGGTTAGAGTCTATAACTTATTTCAATCCATTCTAAGACAAGCATTGACATGTTCAAAATCTTACTGAAAATTAGCCCTTTCTTTCTGTCAATCTCTCTATGTATTGTATATCTAATAGCACTTTGCCTAAAGAACTTTTTAAAATTAACCTTTGGGAGTTGAAATTTGAACATAATATTATGAAGACAGAAATAGAGTGGCCTACAGGTAATATTTTTTTAGGGATTAGACGACTCTATCATGTGAAAAACAACCTTCAAGAAATATCAAATAACAGCTATCTAATCAATTATATGCAATCAGAGTAGTGTGGCAAAGGATATTTTAATCCTGCCATCTAGAAACTGACCTGTGTTAAATATATGCTTCAGGAAAAACAAGTCTATAAGATTAATTGTAGGTTTAGAGCTCACATGTATATATTTCAAGTTTGTTGATTTTACTCTTTTGTACTTTATATCAAGAAATGACTTTCAAGAGAAAAGGGACTGTTGTGGGTCTGGAAACTTCTCATTTGCTGAAGTTTGTCTACCTTAGGACGCATGGAGGGGAGGAAAAGAAAATAGGACACCAAGAAGAAAAATGTCAATGTGGATCTAAGGACAACTCAGGCTGAGTCCTGTCATGAAGCAAAGTTTGCAAGGACTCCTTGAGCAGAGAAGGGAAAGAGACAGAGAGAAACAGTGAGAGAGAGAGAGAGAGAGAGAGAGAGAGAGAGAGAGAGAGAGAGAACACCCCAGGATGGGGAGAGCAAGCTGAGGAATGGAGGAGAAATCTGTTTCTACCAATTGCTGGGATCATTTTCAGGGACCTGTAGTCTAGGTAACATCGTTTCACTCATTTGTGGGATATTGCTTCTGCTAATATATATTAACTTTAGAGGAACTGTGTTTAAAATCTTGAGAGTAATAAGGTTGCTCCAGTTCCTATTAAGGCTGGAATAATGATTGCCAGTTGACCCTGGCAGAGGGTCATGATGAAGTCAGGGAAGGGAGGGGGTGATTGTCCTGTCACCAGGCAGTCTGGCCTGGATGACTTCCCATGATTTTAGGACGGAACCCATGACAGAGTTCAGCAGGGAGGTTGGGTCAGACTCTCCCTTACTCCACACAGGCCTGCGCCCAGAGAGAGGGGAAAATCACCACACGCAGCTGGCGCCCTATGCCCAGAGCTGTACAACACGCTGAAAGCTTGGGGGATACTAGAGGACCCTGACCACAGCCAACTCCTGCCCCAGGGGGTCAGGCAGCACACAGGGGACTGCAGAGCTGTGCGCATGACCTCTGGTTTGGAGAAAGACCAAGAAATCCTGCGTAGCAGCCCCTGGTCCACCCTGAGAGAATGCAGGAAAAAGGGCTGCCTGTCTGCCTTGGTGGAGGCCCCAGAAAGATGAGGGGCTTCTGAGGCATTGATGAGCTTCTAGTCTCCGAGGAAGATTGAACTCTTACGACAGGGCATGGACTGTATGCCATGTCCTTTGCAGTGATTTTATGACTCAGTCTTCACAATGCTCCTGCAAGGTATCCCCACTTTCCTCTTGAGGAAATTGAGGCCCAGAGAGGGCAAGTCATTTGGCTGGGAGAAGATTTTGAGCCAGGAGGCCTGACTTCAAGTTACACATACCCGGGTTTTAGTCAAAGCCGCACAGCTTCCTCTGGACTGAAATGCTAAATCTGCATTTAGCAGACCCTGCTTTCAGGTGGCATCCCACACTTGTCCCCGCCCCCCGAGTTAGCTGTCTACCCCCCCCACTCCACCCACACAAACACTGGCAGACACAGCCCCTAGAAGTGCTGACACTTTCTCTTTGGGACATTACAGTCCCAAAGAGACATACAGTGTTCTAATGACTAAGGAGAGCTAATTTTTTAATCAAAAGAGAAACACACGTGGAGGCTTAATATATGCTACATTGCCAGATTCAGGATCAGTTTCTTACCTTATTCTCTCCCACTTTTCCCAGTTAAGAAAGAGGGACAATTCACAAGGAACTGAGATGTGCAGGGCAGAGAGGGAGACAGTAGGCAACCCACGGCCACTGAATGCAAAGGGCCTGGATTTCAGCTGGTCCCTTGAGCTGGGGACAAATTATTTTTTCATCTGTCAAATGGGGATAAGAAAGTACCCACTGGCTTAAAGAATCAAGCAGCATGATGTTAAATCTTGGTATATAATAAATGACTACACATTAGCTATTAATTTTCCTTTCTTATTAATTTTATAGAGGTTTGAGGAAAATACAATGACAAAAAAAAACTTGTAGAGAAATGCACAAAATAATAAGAACGAGGAAAGTTACAACCCAAGGAAAGAGAAAGGGAGAAAAGAAACGGCAAAAAAAAAAAAAAAGACAAGAGGAAGATAATACAACAGCAGCTATATATAATCATCAGGAGAGGAAGCCACAATCAAGGTAGGAAAAAACAGATATAGATGAATTGATTCAGGAATGTGATCATGGGATGAGCTGACAATGAAATGTCGAGCGTGCTGCCTGCAGCGCGCCATATGACCTCGTGCGCGAGGCTGCAAGAACACAGGTGAGGGAGCCGCCACTTCAAGCCCGCCCTTGAAGCGGTCTAGTCCGTGATGACAACTGACTCCAAACAGAAGAGGGAGGAGAAGGGAAGAAGCAAGGTGGGGCTTTAAACCAAATCAACCTCAAGGGAATGGGAAAGAAGAAACAACAATGAGGAATAAAAAAGAAATTATCAAAAAATAGAAAGCAAATTCTCAAACCAATGGAAAGGGAAGAAAAGAGGGAACTAAGGTGTGGACCCGACCCCAGGATGGAGGAGCAGAAAGGAGAGTGGGAGAAAAAGAGAAGGGGACTGGGCAGCATTAAGAAAGAAGCAAATGGAAATAGACTCTGGTCTGGGATAATTCAGTGTTGAGTCCCAGCTCTGCCCTAGAGGGACACTGTGAGTTAAGAAGGGTTAGCCTCAAGTTTCTCCTGCAATTTTTACATAAGGGGACAGGGTTTGATGATCTAAGGACCCCATGGGGCCCCTTTAGAGAACCCTATGAAAATAGTTTCCCCTGAGTCTGCTCCCTTTCTCTTTCCTCTTCAGTTGCTGATGTTTGGGGCTCTATTCAGGAGGTAGAAATAACTCTGAAGAAGTGAGGAGAAAAAGAAAGAACAATGACACAAGAACAGTATAAGGCACACTCAGAAATGAAGACGCAAATGGGTCAAGTATTAAAAAAAGAAAAGACATTCAAAGGAAACAAAATAATTGCAGTCCCCACTGGGTGGCAGGCACGGTGCCAATGAAAGTTTTCTGTTGTTATTATTACATATTTATCTTTATGCCCTTGTAAATGGTATTTAGTATCAAGTCTCAGATACGGTTTTCAAGCAAAAATACAGCATGTAAGTGGGTGGGCAGGAGAAAGCACTAGACTGAATATGTTAGGGAAGGAAAAATATAGCTACATGCCTCAAATGACAGAAAACTAAAACAAAAATAATCTCATCAGAAAAGGCATCAAAGATCCTGTGGAGAGGGGACTTCCAAAACAAAACTCAACAAACAACAAAGGCCTAAAACAGAAAAGGCCTAACAAAAATGGAGAGAGCTAGGAAGTTTTGAACTGGTATGCCCAGCACACTGGTGTGTTCCCAGGGGGTTTCTGTTGTAACTCTCTGGCCACCAGCTGGGAAAAATTTGGTCCATTTGTCACACTGTGTGATGTCATTACTAAATACAAATAAAATACATACTATTACTGCTTAGCTTCTGAGATGGGTTGTGACCTGGCAAAGATTGGGGAGCACTGCAATTTTATTCACAGGAAGAAGAGAAACAGTAAAGACACACCTATAAAAGTGAAACTAGAGGAAAATTCATAACAGAATAATCCGAGAGGAGCAGCAGCTGGGTTTACTCAAATCTATATGGGGGAGAAAGTAAGGCTCCTGGTTACAACGTGCAACTAAAAATAGATGATGAAATACTTATTATTTGAGCTGGAAGGAATCTTAAAGGTTAAGACAGGATTTGAACACTGGTTTTGCAGTTCTGTGTGTACGGCTTGTGTCTTCCAGCTGGAGTGTAGGCTCCTGGCTTGTATTAATAGGATGGTCACATGTGGGTTCATAGCCTCACCGCAGAGTTCACCGTGGCTGATGGAGTGTAAACATGTAATTCATGCTCATGGAATGAATGAAGGAGTTAGCGCGTTTTATTAAACATTCATTTTACAAAAGTCAAGAGAATCAGGGCAGGTCCAGGGTGTTCTGGCTGCCAGTCCCGGGCTCATTAGGCTCCTCTGCCATCCTTTTTTTGTTTCATGACTCCTACCAACAAACAAATAGCACGCAGTGTGGTCCAGGAGCCAGGAGCCAGCCCCATGGGTCCTGGTTCTCTCCCTCTCTGGGGACCTCAGCAAAACCCCTTCTTTCTAAAGCCCCAGTTTTCTTCTCTATGAAATGCTGTGTTTGGATCAAGTCACTTATGTGACTTCTTAGTTGAGAGGGGCACATAAAACCCTACTCTACCTTAAGAAAAAACTCTGGAATAAGTCTGGTTTTCAAAGGAAATCTTAAACTGAAACTAGCCTCCAGGCCTTCTCACACTGACTGTCCGTACGAACACCAACAGATGAACGGGGGTGTACCATGTAATTTTTGCTATATCTGAACCATGTTTAAATTTTTTCACACAAGGAAAAGAACTATACATTTCTTCCTTTTTTAACCTGACTTTTCTTTGGCAAGTGGCATAGAACTTTCAGGATGCTGAGTCTTGAAGGATTTTAGCTATCATCTGAATTTGGGTAATTAGATTTTCACCTGTACACAGAAAGCTAATAATTAACTCCTCTGTGTGTGTATGTATTTGTGTGTGTATGTGTATTAATTGCTCAGTTGTGTTTGACTCTGTGAAACCCCATGGACTGTAGTCCGCCCTGCTCCTCTGTTGATGGAGTTCTCCAGGCAAGAATCCTGGAGTCAGTTGCCATTCCCTTCTCTAGGGGATCTTCCCGACCCAGGGATTGAACCCGGGTCTCTGCACTGCAGGCAGATTCTTTACCTTCTGAGCCACCAGGGAAGCCCCAGTTATTTTCTTGACTAGCCTTAAATCTTGAAGCCAGCTTTTGCCTTTCTGTCTATCTTTAGGGTTGTGAAGTAAAATAAATGTTAAAGAAGGGAAAAGCTTTCAAAAAGATCACTGTTCAAATCTCTAGTACAAAAAACTTGGGTTTGTATTTGTGTCTGATGGAAACCACTCCAGCCTAATCTCTCCAGACTCAGCAGATGGGAGAAGGGCCAGAGGCAGCTGCTACAGGACACGAAGCTAGCCTGTGCCACTTCCTCCCTCCTCGGGGCCCTGTCCTCCGTTCCCCTTGCCCTGCGCCTCCACAACTCACACAAAGGCCTCCCAGGATTAGCTGCTCCCAAACAGCCTTAGGTAAACATCCCACCTGTCCAGAAGATGAAAAACACTTTTGTCTAGAGGCTACTCCTTTCCTTCCGCAAAGCTATCTATCTCTAAATTGGGGCCTCTTCCATGTGCATATTTCTTTATTTCCTACATTGAACAACAGTTACATTATTTATCTTTAATCTTCCCTTCCTTCTTTTTTGTGTTCATTACATACAGCCTGCTGCAAATTCTTGGAAAGGCAGAATTCGAATCATCTATTTCTAGATTAGAAATGAAATGAGGGTTGTGCTTTTACCTGAATTTTTAGAGGAAAATCCAAGAATTATTGAACAGTGGTCTGTATGTGGGTTTTTTTTTTTTTTTTTTTTTTGCAGCCTAGTAAATATAACACATAGTAAAATCCCTTAATTTGGAAAGCTTTTATATTTTCCAACAACTGTTCCATGATCTGACATTCACACAAATGTTGAGCAGTAGAAATCATTGACACACAGTTGCCATGGATCCTATAGAGTTTGCATGCCCCAGAACAAACAACCGGTGAGAAGATGCTGGCATTCTGATCCTACCTCCTAATTTAAGGCTTTTTCATTGCAGAAAGAAACAATGTTCCTCTCTTCCTCTTCAGTACAGAGAAGACAGGAATGGCTTATTTTTTTATGTAAGCATAGAAAAGGTCCCTCCCCTCTTCCTCTCCTTTCCCAGTTCAGTATGCTCTTACCAAGGCATGAAACCCCTTAGAAGCATTTATGCGGACAACCCTTCCTCACGTGAGGACAACAGGAGAAGGAGAAGGCAGATCTGTCCCCCAGTGCTGGCAGCTTCCTGCTGTATCTGAAGGGGGTGTGTGTGTGTGTGCGTTCAGTTGCTTAGCTGTGTCCAACTCTTATGATCCCATGGACTGTAGCTCGCCAGGCTCCTCTGTCCATGGAATTCTCCAGGCAAGAATACTGCAGTGGGTTGTCTTTTCCTTCTCCAGGGGATCTTTCCAACCCAGTGATTGAACCTGTATCTCCCTTTCACCACTGAGCCCCCAGGGAAGCCTGTCTGAAGGTTGCCCCTGCCTTATATGCTTGACCTAAAGTGTCCTGGTTCAGAAAAACCGGGCTCCCCTTCCTATCAAGTTCCATGGACTGTAGTTACAGCAAGGATTCCCACCGATGAATTTGGATGGACTCCCGTGTCAGAATCCACATCCACTTCATTTAGAGAGGGGAACAAGGGGGAGCTGATTCTTTTCTGATGGGAGAGAAAGCAGATAGGAAAGGGTGCCTTGTAGGCATTCCTAGCAGAGCGTAGTGGATTCACTCTGAACAGACAGGATCAAACACAGCAGCTCCATCTCAGGAGCCACTGCAGCTTAGGAATCTCCCATCCCATAGGGGTCAAGCCATGCGTGTGTATGTGTGTGTGTGTGTGTGTGTGTGTGTGTAAAATACCTTAAAGACTTTGTAAAGACTTTGGACTTGCCTAAACAAAGTATTCTGATTGTCTAAAAGCAAAACCAAGAGCTTACAAATAGTCTCTGTATAAGAAACTTCAAGAGAAAGATGTGGTGGACAGGCAGAAACCATTCTGCAGATTTTAGAAAACCTCTTAACAAGAAAATGTCAGTCTTTGACTCTCCTTACTCTGAGGAGCAGCCAGGGTAATGGTGTTTCCAAAGATGTCCTGTGCCTCTGTCACTGGGGCTGCAAGGAATAAAGCTCACTCCACAAAATCCAGACCAGGTTTTCATTTCTGCCCCCCTGCCAATCTTCACCCAAGGCTAGCGTGAGAGATCCCTCCTACTCACTGTGGGAAAGACACTCAGGCAATTTGAAAAGGTCAAAGGGAAAAGGCCAGCCGTGGGGCTGAGGAGTGGGGAGAGCAGGAAGCTTGGCAGGAAAATTAGCTCCTTAATAATCTGAATGGGGTTCTATTCTTCCGAAAATACCTCCTCTGCGGTAAACCCGCCACTTCAAACACAGAGCATTAGGGCTGCTCTTAATCCCTTAAACCTGATTATCAAAGTGATGGTCACTCACCAGCAGCTGCTCCCTCCGGCTTTCTGGTGGCCATCATCTGTGCTCCACCACGAAGCTCATGGTGGTGCCGTCAAAGGAGGGGGGCGCGACGATCCGCGGCCCCAGGGGCTGCGAGGTGATGCTGATGACAGGCTTGCCGTGCAGCTGGGCAAAGCCCTTGGCCCCCACGAGCTGCGGGGTGGCTGCCGGGGCGGAGGAGGCAGAGGAGGCGGGAGACTGGCCGGAGGCCATGAAGTAGGGGGCCTCGGGGAATGCTGCAGCTGCCTCTTTGCTGGGGGGCTCTGCGGTCAGCGGGGAGAGCTCACCGCCCCCTGGAGTGCGAGCAATCGGCGTGGGCTGCAGGGCGCTGGCGGGCAGCACCGTGGGCAGAAACCCGGGGTAGATCATGTAAGTGGGTCCATAGGCCCCAGGACTCAGGGCCAGGGGAGGCACAGGAAGGGACATGGGGGCCACTGCCTGCTGCTGGGAGGTCATAGGCACGTCCACATACTGCCCCGTCTCGGGGTCAAACAGTCTCCGGGTCATGGGCTGTACTGGTGTGTCCACCAGATAGTACTGGCCGGTGGTCACATCCAGGAGCATCTTGCGCTGGGTCTGCTGAGGTGGGGGCTGCTGGAAGGGGTCTGTGGGGACGGGAGCTGGGCCGGCAGGTGCCGGGGCCGGCATACCTGGCGGGGAGAAGCAGAGGACCTGGGGCTGGGCGCTCTGTAGGGTGAAGGGCAGTGGCTGCTGGTGGTAGATGGCGGTGGGGGGATGCTCAGGGCTCTGGGGCCCCGCGGGGGCAGCTACTGTCTCCCGGGGGTGGTCAGGTTTGCTGCGCCAAGCTGGCCGGCTGGTTCCACTGACCTGAGAGCCCTTGGGACTAGTGGGTACCTGACTGCGAGCACTCAGTGGGGGCAAGCTGCAGAGAGTGGCCGCGGCCGAAGAAGCTGGGGGTCCCTCCCTCCCTGCCCCAGGCCTGCCTGGAAGCTCTCCAGCTGCAGAGCTTCCTTTAAGAGGGATGGTCAGGTAATTCTCACAGTCACTATTGCTCTTTTCCAAATTGCTGCTGATTTTCCTGTTGGTCACCTCTTCCAGAGGTGCCCGGGTGGCCGGAGAGATCTTGAGGGACCGCAGCCCCTGTGATCTGATGCCCTTGGCGGCCGCCGAGGGACTCTCCGGAGAAGGGCCTTGCGGGAACTTGCCAGCGACTCCCCCAGTTTTCTGGGTGCTGCTGGCACTCACTGTGAAGACGTTCCGTTGGCTGGGGAGCGGAGGCAGGGGCTGGGTTCTGTCCACATCCTTGTGCACCGGGGGGATATAGAGGGACCGGGGCCGCTCCCTGGCCAGGTTCTCAAAGGCAGCCGCGCGGGCGGACACACTCTCGGTGCTGGGGTTGGAGTTCCTCCGCTGTAGACGCTCTGGGCCCCCTCGTAGGACCACCCCGCCTTTGTTCCCGACGCCCCGAGGCTCCTCCACCTCACCCAGCCGCCTGGCCAACTTGTCGGGGTCAGCGCCGCTGGCCCCTTCCCGCTCCTCGCTGGCGATGAGCGACAGGACATGGCTGTCAGTCAGCAGAGGCAAGGGGTCGCTTTTCCGCTTCCACTCGTTCCTGTTGAAGCTATACAGCTCTTCCATGGACCTCACGGCCGCCGTCAGCTTCTCCAGAGCATTCCGGGATGTCTTGGGGCCTTTCCCTTCCTCTTTGACTTCCTCCTCCTTGACCTTCTCTGGGGTCTTCTGAGCCTTGGAGACGATCTTGAGCACAGGCAGGTAGGAGCCCTGTTCAGGCTTATTGGGGGCTATGGTGGCTACTGGCAGCCTGCCAGATGCCCTGTGCACCAAGACTGTCCCTTCTGGCGAGGAGGAGTTCAAGACCCTGCCACTTCCCTTGCCCGCGTTCTCCCTGGGCTCTCGCTCCACGCTGTCCTCCCTGGGGTTCACCACCGCCTGGCACGTGATCACCATGGGGGATAAGGATCCGGATCCCCCAGCGGCAGGAGCCAGCTGCCTGGGTTTGGGCCCAGTCAGCCCCTGCTCTGGGGTAACGCTGCCCTTGTCACTGCTGTCCCCTGACCCCTTGATTAGTTTCCGGACATCTCTCACCTGATGGAGGGGACCTTGGACCTTGGACTTGTCCCTGACGTCTCTCACCTGGAACTGGGGCACTTTTTCCAGGTTGTCCCCTCGGAAGAGCTTCTGCTGGGCCCTGCTGTTGTCCTCAATGGTCTTGAAGAGGTTGGAGGCACTGCCGCTGGCCAGTTTGGGCGTGAGCAGCTTGGCAATGTTGAAGTCCGAGCTCGGCTGTTGCACGCTCCCCAGGCGGATCTTGATTTCGGGAGCCTTGGGTCGGATCACTGCCGTGGAGGTGGCCTGAGCAGCAGGGTACTTGGTGGCCTGCTTCCCCGGCTGCTTATCCTTGGGTGTCTGCTGGATGTTGGGGACAAAGAGGCGAGACATGATGGTGGACTTGCTGGCAGAGATCTCCCCCAAGTCAGCCCTCCAGTCACCCCCCTTGGGGAGCTTCAGCTTCCCGACGGGGGCTCTTTCTTCTCGCTTCTCAGCCTCTTTCTCCTTCCAGGACCGGAATGCACTGTTCTGACTGCGGAGGAAGATGCCCTTGACAGTCTCAGAGGCACTCTTTTTAATTTCACACACTTCTGGGAGTCCATCAGCAAAATGACGGCCGGAGCCTGCGTGGCTCTCCCGAGGGGCACTGGCTTTGAAGATAGGGGATTTAGACCCAGCTACGGCCCCCTCCCCACCGGCATCAGACATGCTGACCACCGTGTACTCGGAACCGGCCTCCGAGTGGCGAGAACTCTGCCTCTGCAGACCCCTCTCGCGCTGCTTCTCAGCCCCGGGGGGAGGGCCCTCCGTCTCCTTGGAGGTGCTGGAGAGGTGATGGTGGGATGTGTCACTGAGTTCTCCCCTCTCCATTTTGAACTCGTGTTCCCGCTGCATCTTCTTGGAGATGACATTTTTGAGCAGGCTAGAAGCAAACTTGGACTTCTGGGGGCCATCAGCGCGGGAGGCGGGCTTGCCGCTCTCGGAGGTCTCTGAGCCATCGTCCGTGTACACTGACCCGGGGCCCTTGCTGGGGCCTTTGGTGGCCTTGCAGGGCCCTGCGGCCGAGCTGGCTTTGCTTTCACTGCGTAAATTCAGAGGCTCGAGAAGGGTGACCACGCGCGGACCCGACTGGACCTGCTTCTGGAAACACAGAGGTGTCTCCACGTGTTTGATCTCGCCCTCGACTTTGCTGACCACAAACTCCAAGGCCTTGGTCTGGGACTTCTTGGACTGGATGTAGAGCTGGTCTGCCGTGGTCCTGGCCCCACCGCCCTTCCTCAGCCCTGCAGCCACGGAGGCCGCGCTGCTCCTCAGGAGGCTCTGTTCCACCCTGGCTCCAACACCTCCACATTTTAAGTCCAGGAAGGTCGACCAGCGCCCAAAGCCGACTTCGGAGAGCACGGAGGACTCCCGGGAGCTGATGTTCAGAGCCTCAAAGTAGGGGTAAGCGAGGCTCCGGAAGGCCCGAGAGGTCAGGTTACGCACCTCTTTGTCCGCATCATCCAGCTCGCTCACGGCACTGGAGGCTCCACTGGAGTAGTCCACCAGCTCCTTCGCCCGGATGGCCCCGCACCGGGTCTGCAGGCGAGCAGGGACGGCGATGAATTTCTTTGCATGGTCCTGAGCCACGGCTGCAGCCGGGTCTTGCTTCAGCGAACTGGAATTGTGTTCAGCAGCTGTAGAGACGCGGAGGCTCATGTCGCCTTCATGCTTGGCAGCGTAAATAATGTTTTGCTTTGCACACACGTTGCTAGGCTCATTTATAGCCCGGGAAGTCGGTTTGATTGATAGGAGGATCTGGCTTGCTGCGTTCCCACAGCTGCTGGCGGCGGTGGCTGCTGCTGCCCCTGAAGCCGCCTCCGGGGGCTCGGGCAAGGGCTCCCGCGGGGTGGCCGTGCCAGGCCCCGTGGGTGGGGGAGTGGGGCCACCGTCCGAGGGGCCGCTGCCCACTTCTGTGCTGCTGGTGTCGCCGCCGCCGCTGCCCGCGCCGGGACGGGCGGGGTCGCTGCTGCTGGGGCTGGGTGTCCGGGTGGCGTTGGTGCTGGGAGTGGTGCTAAGGTAGCAGCTGTTGTCGTCGTCCTCTTCGGTCAGGGTGGTGACGTCCTCTGGGGTCTCGTCGCTGCCACCGAAGGAAGCGTAGTCCACAAACGAGTAGATCACGTTGTTGTCCTCGAAATCCCAGCGAGAGGCCAGGCCCACATCGAAGTCCATGTCCTGCTCCACCTCGCTCAGCTGGATCTCGTGGGTGGTGATGTAATGGGCCTCCTGATTTCTGGGGGGGTCCCGGCTGCCCTGAGACTTGGCAATAATGTCTCTGCACTCCGTGGCATCCCCTTCCCCACATCTCCCTCTTCCTCCCGCTCCTCGGCCTCCTGCTTTTTCCCCTTCTTCTCCCTTGGGCTGGCAGCTCAGCGCGTTCTCACCACTGTCACTCTCGAAGCCTAAGGATGAGGACGAGGTGGCCAGAGCCCCTGTGGATGTGGTGGTGCCATCCATCTTGGCCAGGCCACCTCCTTCTGCTCCTTCCACTGGGGAGGAGGAAGAGGAAGAAGAGAAGGGATTGCTGCCCTCATCGGTACTGGCGAGCTGGGATCTGGAGAGTTCCGAGGGGACAGAGTTCTTCAGGGGGGCTGGAGCTTCGTGCTCTTGACTGCTGACTTCGTCTCGGGCTTTCTCCTGGGGACTCTTCGAGCCCCTCTGATCCCCCTGGCGCTGCTCCCGAGTGAGTCTCATGGTCCGGGGACTGTCCCTCGGGACTCCAGCTGAAGCGCACATCTCCACATATTTTGCCTCTCGCAGGGAGGAGGCTGATGGCTTGGGAAGCGGCTGCAGCTGCTGCTTTAGCTCCTGGCTATCTTGAGCTCCGCACACCCCGTCCCCCACCTCCTTGGATCTGGCCTGCAGATTCGGTTCAGGAGGGGTGCCTTCCATTCTGAGCCCTCGCCTAGGTGTCAGCGACAGGAGGAGACAGTGGTGAGCGACGGGGCTGTCCTGGGTCCCTCCCTGGCCCTGGAGGGGCTGCAGCGCAGCCTGAAGCAGGGTCCCACGTGCCTGGACTGGCCCCAAGGCT